GCGAGCCGAAATCAAAGCTTTCATCATTGACGGGGTCACGCCAGATGACCCAGCCGAGGCCAAACGTTTGCGAACCCAAGCCAGTAGATATACTATCATTGCCGGGCAACTGTACAAACGTGGTTTCTATACCCCGCTGCTAAAATGTCTCGACCTCCATGAAGCCGATTATGTGACGAGAGAGGTGCACGAGGGAATCTGCGGCCTGCACTCAGGAGCAAGGACAACTGTCTCCAAGCTCTTACGGGCCGGATACTACTGGCCTATTCAAAACACCCCTTCGGCCCCAAGCTTGGCCGAACACCCCTTCGGCCACAAGCTTGGCCGAACACCCCTTCGGCCCCAAGCTTGGCCGAGCACCCCTTCGGCCTTATGCTTAACCGAAAACCTGAAGAAAGAGCCTATGATAAACACGTGGCAAGCCAAATGCCTACTATGCATTAATTACCATACCAGATTAAGACAGGATTAAGGTTAAGTCATGTATTACCCATTTCCCAAGGATGAAGGCCCATCAGGCCCGCATATGTCACTATAAATATACAGGTGGTGTGACATAAATGAGGTACGTTACTATTCCTTATAAAGCATTTATTGCCCTGAACCGAACACTGACTTGATCGTCGGAGTGCCTTTGCAGGTACCCTCCCCCACCACCTGGAGCTAGTGTTCGGTCGGCATCGAGGACTTGGAAAGACCTGAAGACAGTCAAGAAGGACGAAGGAGAAGAGTGTTCTTGCGACAGGAACACCTATGGTATTAGCACCTTTCATGAAATCAAGTAAGTAGTCAGTAGCTTTAGTCTTTGTTTCAAATTGTGTGTATACTTGTAGAGAAGATTATACAGGGGATAGCGATGTTGTATAAGAACCATCACAGTAACTTACGCCTTTTAATGAACATGAACACAGTCGAGACTACAGCTTCTGCAATGCCAAATGAACTTTTGCAGTCTTGTAAGCTTTCACTACCAGCAGCTTTGGATTCAGACTTCTCACATGTTGGTTTTAAGGCAACATTCAAGCCAATCGAGTTAGGTTCCGTCACAAAACTGTAAGCCACAAGATAGACAAAACATCATTTAGGTTTCAAATAACTATAACTATACACGGTACAACTAGTTTTAACTGGACAGTGTGTAGCAAAAATCCATAACATCTCAGTGCATAAATGCTCCTGAAATTCTATTTATTTATTAGATAGAGCTCATTGACTCAACAATCGGCAAGTTATTACGAAAATAAAAAAAGAATGAAAATGTTTTCTAAAACCAAAATGGCGTAACTGTTCCTAAATCTTTATAGAAATTCATAGGACCTAGACATATACCCGAATTTTCTCATTCACATGTTATAAAGCTTCATTTACCGCGAGCTCATCCATAAATAATATGGCTCCAAAAACCCAGTAGTCATAGATCCACATTAGATCACCACAGGCTCCTACGTCCAACAACCCCGCCACCGCTGCCAAATCATAGGAGTGCAGACCCTGCTTGACTTGTTTTGAAAACCGTGGTCCATTACCAAGTAGTTCTCTTTAAAAGGCAAATCCAGGATACTTGAATTTGCATGTATACCCACCACACTCTTACTCATTATTCATTAACCTCTAAAATTTAGAGTAGTTATTATTGACCACATGAAATTATCCTATCTAAACAACTGAAATTTAACACTGTAAAAAGTATTACCAAGCAAAGGCTATTCGTACCTTGCCTCAAAGCTTCTTCCTTCAGAGGCCATCAATGCACATGTATCACAAATAACCCAAGGTGGAAGTAGTGCATTCTTAATTTCAATGGTACAAAGGCCATCTGATGATCCTCGTGCAGACTCGCCATCTTTCCATATAGACCCGTTATAAGAAGCAGCAATGTCTTCAGCTCTTCTTGTCTCCATGCATTTAATCTGAGAAACAGAAATATATAGATTCCAATTATTTAAATAGCTAGCGGAAGAAAAATAATCATTGAAGCTTCAAACAAACTGGACAAAAAAATTTCAATTTTAAAGCTATCGAATCCTCTACATGGTTTTCTTGAAGATAACAATATATTATTGATACTAGACCAGTGCACAGATTTGAAATATTAAGCAAAGAAACTAGTAACAATAACATTGGACACATAAAACACTATACTGGAAACACTATTAGTATTACTTGCTCAAGTAACATAAAAGGATTGGTATGACAGCTCAATAATCAACTTAAATAGACAAAATTCAAGAAAAAAGCACACGAGAAATAAAAAGGAATGCAATGACGTCAAGAACATATACATCAGGAGTAGAAACGGCAGAATTTTGAAATGGCACAGGAGAACACAAGACAGGTACGTCCACACCGGATAGTGAGGTCAAGAGAAATCTGCAGAGTGCAGACAATAAAAACGTTAGTCAGCAAGAAGATTAAAAATATAAGAGTAAACATCAAATAAGTCTGATTTAATTTGGGCCTATGAAAGTGACTGTTGATCATCCTATGAGCATTGTTTAGCTTATTTCAATGTTCTGTATTGAAGCTTATATCGATAAGAACTTATTAAATAAATGCTTGGTTTTGATGTTTATCAAAAAACACCATAAGCCCGAAGTACAAAAACTGGAAAGGAAGCTATCAACAAATCAAAATG